TGTGACTGGTGTGGGGGGCAAGCCAGCAATTCCCTTCTTCTTCACCTCTTGTTTAATTCAGACTTGTTGCTGTCTCTCTCTGAAGAAACATAATTTGAATTTATTCATCTTGCACACAATTAGTCTGGGAAAAAAGCTGTAGTAATTACCACATCTACAAGGATAGGAGAGAGGGAACACTGCAGGCTCTTTGCCTACACAAACCTAGTGAAAGTTTTGAATAATGCTTTTAATGGCTTGTTTTGAGCAGTCTTCAGTTGTAGTATGCAAATTATTGCTGCTGCTTGTTCTATTTCCTCCATAGGTGTTAACATCCTGAAGAGCCTGTCTTCCAAAACACACAACGAAAACAAACAGAAAATGTACTCATAAGGTGCCTTACACTGCTTCTTGCTTTTCTGGTCTGAAAATGGGTACATCAGGTGACCCCTGCAACAAACAGTAATCACACGCAACTATTTTCAGACACTTTGTTATTTTTTCTGAGACATAGCCCTTCCTATCCATCCATACAGATAAAAGTCTGCTCAAGGCTCCAATGTTATTTTTTTCCCTTCACTGCAACAATAACTTTCTCTATGCCCTCAGGAAAGGCATTTCTGCCCCATTTTGTTTTATTTAGGATCTTGTTGCAAAGGGAATTTTCTTTCTCCATTATTTTTAATCACTCGCTGCTCACTTGGCAATTCTTTGCACTGCCCCACTTTCTCTATCCATCAAATACCAGCTACTTCTATCAAAATCTGTGCAATCCACATCCAATCCCAGACATCATTTCTATTTTAGTAGCAAAAAATTGGCTGCCGCCCTCCCATTGCTCACTGGCTCTGCCAAGCACCTTCCTGCTTTAACCCCTGCTGGCCACGAACGCTTGGGAAGGAGTAGCCTTTGGACTTCCCACCAGGCCTTGTCACTGTTCTTCACTTTTTCCTCAGCCACAGCGTCAAATTAAACAAATCAGAAAGTCCAAGAGCAGCCTGCCTACCTCACCGAGCCCCAGCAGGCTCTCACGATGCCAGAGATGCACAAAAAGCCACCCCGACAGCAAAAACAACTGGTACAAATGCAGGAATTTTCCCCGGTGGATGGCTCCGTGCTCACCAACAGGCAGTTAAAACGATCTGTAAGTACAGATCAGGTTTCCAATAGATGCTGAACTTCATCTTTTATTCCTCTGGCAGGAGAAGATGTATGCATGCACGGGCACACTCACAGCCACCACCCACTGTACAGAAATCTTGCTGATTTGCACCAGTGCCTTGCAGATTATTGGGCTGACCTTATAACATGCAGTTTTTACAAACAAGCAGACAAACAGAAAAAACAAAAAGTACAGCTCTGCCTCCACAGCTTATCTGAAATCTCTCTCATTCTCTTCTGCCAAAACTCAAGCCTGTACCCTGGCGATTTCATACCCACATTACTATAATCTCATTTCCGAGCCTCTGAAAACAAGTTAGGTAACATTCAAAGCATCTGTGGTTTTCTCTTTTTTTTTTTAAGCTGGGCATGAAAGAGCATGATTTTTCAAATGCTCATTTTAAAACCATGAAACATGTCATGTAATTCAGACTCTGCAAACCTGTAAATATTAATAGATGAGTATATCAGTCCAGTTATCTGTTTAAAGGCATTAAATCCTATTAAGTCAATATGCATTTACATAATGAGCCATTTTAGAACCATACATTATATACCTTAATTAATCACAGAGAGAAATCTAATCAGCTCCCGAAATTCAGCCTGATTTCTTGACCACAGACCCAATGTGGACTGCTGGTTTGTCTCCCCTTAGAGTCTCTACTTTGCAGACAACATTAAACCTATTTCTACTGAACATTAAGAAAATTTGGGGTGAGAATATTAACACCTTAAGTCCTGATCTTGCAGTGAGATCCACATTCGCAGACGAAACACCTGCACCCACAGAAAACTCGTAATTAACTTAAGCTGTGCTTAAGCAGAACTTACCACATCGGTAATTTTCATAATGACACGATCGTTGAAAAAAATTACTACTCCGGCTAAGTATCTTTATTATTTTAAATGTATATGCATGAAGAACTAAGCCATAATTAATGGAGAAAGTAGAAAGGAAGAACAGGTTTGTGACTATTTCTTTTTTTTTTTTAATATATATTCGTCTATAGACCCTCTCCAGCAGCCCTGATGTTTCAGCAGTACTTTTCCTCTACTTTCACTAAAAAAATTAGAACTTTGATTAATATGAATATGTACAGTGATCTGAATGAAGGTAAACTGAGAGTTTGGTGTCTGCTCAACCAAGACTCTCTCTTTCATTCTCCAAAGATGCTGAAGTCTGATTTTTGTTACAACAAATAGCTTAACATTTAGTCACAGGAAAGTGAAGTTATGTAGAAAACGGGTTATAAATTCTTTATCTGCACAACCTGGTGAAGCTAACACCCCATTTTCAGCACCTTGAAGGGGGTGCGGGATCAGAGAGGCTGAAAGCCCAGCCCTGCCCAGCCACAGCTTTCCAAGCCTCCAAATTGCTTTTTCATGGGCCCAGATGCTGGTGGCTCTCTCCAAGGAGCCTTTGATATACAAAACTGCAAAAAAAACTGAGTGTGAACAGCGCACGGGGACGATGCGGGTGACACCCAACCCCCCCCCCCCCCCATAAGAAAACCACCTCACGGGTGTTACCTGGTAGAGCTCCTCGAGGTTGTAGCGGATGGAAACGCTGCTCTGGATGGCCCCCACGGCGTCGTGAAGTTTCTGCCAGGTGTCCTGCGTGTAGTTATCGGGCAGCTTGGGCCTTTCTGCCGAGACACAGGGCGCGGGGCGCTGCCAGCGGGCGGGGGGGGGGGGGGCAGGGCCCTGCGGAGCCATCTTACCCCCCCCACAACCCCCCCCCTTCGCTACCACCCCGGGGGTGCCAGGCGAGGCGGTGACACCGCGATAAGCGCCTGTCCCCACTCATATCGCGATAAGGGGCATTAGGGAGCCCCCCCACACACACACGTTGTAAACAAGGGAGGGGAGCGGGCAGCTGGCACCCACCTCTGAAGTTCTTGATGACCAGTTTCTTGGACGGGGCGGTGGTGGCGGAGCCTCCTCCTCCTCCTCCTCCCCCCCCTCCCCGGCTGTTGCTGCTGGCGGTGGCGGCGAGCTTGGTGAGCCCGTTGGTGTGCCCCACCAGCGCCGACAAGTGCGGCTTCTTCTGCGCCTCGTCCGCCATCTCCGCCCCGGGCGCCGTGTCCGGCCGGGGCAAGGCGCTGGGCTGGGCTGGGACGCCTGGACCCGCCTCCTCCTCCTCCTCCTGCTTCTCCTCCTCTACCCGCCCCCACAGCCCCAGCGGTCACCGGCAAGCGCCCGCCTCCCCCCCGCGGCGCCCCGGCCGCCGTCTGGCCGCCTCCCCGGCCGCTGGGCGGTGCGGGCTGGGGCAGCCCCGCGCACAAAATGGCTCCCGGGCGCTCCCCGCCATGGCAATCCCCCTTTATGGGGGTGAAGGGGAGGCCGGGGAGCTGGGCGGGGGTGTTTTAGGAGCGGTGCTTTCGGGCGCTGTGTGTTCAACAAGAGTAGGGGGGGGGTGGGGTAAAGCCACCGGAGGCGCCTCAGAACCGAGCGGCGAAACCATCCGCCCCGCGCCCCTCCACCCCGCCTACTGACGCGCCGCGCGCCCCGCCGCACGTGGTCCCTGCCAGGCCCCGCCCCCCGCGCGCCCCCCTTGGCTGCCGGCGCGAGGCCACGCCCCCCGCGCGCCGCCGGGGGCGGGAAAGAGGCGCGGCGGGAGACCACGTGACCCCGGCGGCTCTGGCTCCGCTGGGCGCCGTGCAGGAAGTGACGTAGCGATTGCCGGAAGCGCCGTGCTGGGCGGCGCCATGATGGCGGGCGGGCGGTGAGGAGGGCGGCTGCGGCATGGCGCACATCACCATCAACCAGTACCTGCAGCAGGTGGGGCCGGGGGGGCGCCGGGCCGCTCCTTTCCTCACGGGATGCCTCCCCGCGGGGCTCCTGGTGGTCTCTGGCACAGCCGGGAGCGGCTCCGGGGGCGGCCTTCTGGGGGGTGCTTCTGGAGGGCTCCCCTCCCGGGGCCTCACTGCGCTGTCTGTAAGCACTGAGGGGAAAAGAGGTCTTCGTCGTGTGTGGGAACCCCGTGCCAAGCGGGAAAGACCGCAGGCTATAAAGGAGCCACGAAAGCAGCACAAGATGGGAAATATAAAGCCAGCTCCTTCAGCTCTTTCAGAGATCTTTGTTTATTTTTTTTTGAGCAAAGGAAAGTTGGTTTTGATTTTTTCCCCTTTTTCATGTTAAATGCTAAGTCTGTATGAAATCCGAGTGCAAATCCTGCAAATTTTTCTTTATATTAAAAATTCCCCCTGCAGTACAACAAGCAGTAGTCCCCAGGCATGGCTCACGCCTTTGCGCACACGTTCAATGCCCATAAGTCCAACTGGAACTAAAAAGCTTCTATAAAGCTTCTTCACAGCTGCTACTTTACGGTACTAAACCCATATAAGTTGTGTTGAGGTTCTCTGGTTTGCTGGTATCTTATAAATGAGGTTAAAAACAGAATGGCATTCACACCGTCCTCTCCCCAGATCTCTTTCTTTAAAACAGGTGGGTTGAAAATGCATTGAATTATTCAGTTTTAAACCTCTAAAACTCATATTTGAAAAGGTATTGAGGTGGATGAACACCGTTTACAAGCAGGCGGCTTATGTAGTGACCAGGAAACGTGTTGTATGGCTGCAGCTGGATTTCATTATGTGATGTGCTTTCCTTGGGCAGGTACAAGAAGCCATTGACAGCAGAGATGGACAATTTTGTGCAGAATTGGTATCATTTAAACACCCTCATGTCGCAAACCCAAGGCTTCAGGTAAGAACCTGTTACACTGCAAGAATCTCTTCTTGACGTTCCTTTTATTCGGCTTTGAGTTTTCTTAGCTCTCTGTATGCCTTCCTGCCCACTGGGGATAAACCTCAGAAATCTGTTTCATAGCCCAACGCGGGATCCCCTTGTGGATTAGTTCCCCTTTCTTTTTACAAGCATATATTATATTTCCATTTTTATCCTGGGTGGTTTTATGTGTTCCACTTGGAATTTTCTGGATTTTTGTTTGGAATTTTTGGAATTAGTTTTCTGAATAGAGTCCTGAAGGTCTGCTACGGCCAGGTCTACATCAGTTAGTAAAATCAGGGGTGTGGCAGAATGGAAGCAAATATAAAAAGCAAAAGAGTGGGTAGTAAGGCTCTGGTGCTTGTGCTACGTGTATTGCTGGTGTTTTTATTTAAGACTGGCTCTAATCTGGTTGTGTAGGCAGAATGCACACTGTAACAATTCATTACACTGTGATTATGAATATAATTAAGGTTCTGATAGATTGCAAAGACACGTATGCATAAGACTGCCACGATGAAATATCCATTGCACCAGAAATAGAACATCATGTAGAAGTTCTCTTCGTGATTCATTGATTTATTCTGTCCTTAGCTTCCATCTCCAGAGGAGAAGTGTCAACAAGTGTTGGAACCACCGTATGATGAAATGTTTGCAGCCCACTTAAGGTAAAGACGGACCAGGAACAGGCAAGTCGGTTGTGAGGCATCCAGCAGGGATGGGAAAACGAAGTGTACTTAGCTATTTTTTACGGGCTTATATCTGAAGGCTTGGTATTTAGGACTGCAGGAAATAAAGGCCTTCCTTTTCTTTTCCACATGAAGTTTTCTTTATGTACCTGACAGTCCCCTCTACATGGTCATTGGCACAGCTTTGGCATTGGTGCTTCTTGTTTCCTTTGCTCTGCTTTTACTAGCTACACGAAAATTTAGAGTGAAGTAAGTAGGGGAAATAAACATTAAAAAAAGGTAAACTGGGTCATAAAAGTACTCCTAAGTCAGCTTGAATGCCTGAGTAATTTTGTGAGGTTTTTAATACAAAGAAATTCTATGTTGTATTAACATTGTCTTTAGTTCACTTTCAAAAGTCCTGGAAATATTTAACTACGCTAGTCTTGGCGACACTTTCAATAAGACTTAGCATGTTACAGTTGGTTCTGTACGTACTGCAGAAACAAATCCCTGTTCTTGGATCAGTTTTCTGCAGCTATCAAACTCGGTGCTGTGTTGAAATACTTAGCTGTTTTCTTAGGAACCTTTCTAATCCTATTACTGTATCGCCTTTAATTAAACTGTAAAGCCTGTACCTGCTAAAAGGTACAACAACAACAATTGTCTTACGTATGTATTTTTGGATGTGCTAATGCTCCTTTTCTTTAACAGATGTACTTACGCCGTTGGAAACCATGATTTTATAGAAGCATACAAGTGCCAAACAGTTATCGTTCAATATCCTTTTCATCAATGTTGTATATTTTTTTCAGATTAGCTGTTTTCTTGTACAGTAAGCTATCTGTATCCATTTTAGAATGTAGTCTGCTTCCAAATATGCTTTAGTTATTTAGATCCTTAAACAAGGAAATCCAGGCAGGCTTTTCTCTTTTGAATTTTCTGTGGGACTGTGAAAGAATGTGCCTCTTGTCTGTAAAATAGAAAGTTATTTTCTCATAGAGAATAAGAGAACCTCAAATCATTAATACACATCCCAGTTTGTCCCTGGGTAGAGGGAAGATCCTGATAAAGAAAGCTGCTGTCTTATCTCTAAGTGACCAATGTTTTTCATTGCTACTGCAGCACCAAGAGCATGCGGCTGTGCTCACATTCTTCCCTAGTGTCTTTTCACCCTTATTTCTTATCTCCTTGCTGCTTTGTTTGCTTCTTCCCTTTCATATAGCACATAGTATGTGGTGTGACAACTCCTCTGTTTTTTAAATCTGCTTAATTTCATAGCATTTTAAATTCTCCTAAATGCATTACATCTTTCCTGCGAGCATTTCAGGCACATAAAGAAGAAAACTGGTAAGTGTATCGTAGAGATTTGTTTCAAAACTAGGCTCTCATCTTTCACTAGTATAATAGAGTAATCAAACTAAAATTGTGCCTACTGTTTTTATTTACCCCCAGCAATACTGAGATGCAGCCTGATTGTTTTTGCTGCCTGAGTTTTTAGGCCCAAAAGTGTGAGAACTAAACATCTAAGCTTAAGTATTTAGGATATCAATAAGCAAACGTGAAGAATTTGTTCAAAGTGAGGTTTTTTTCTTTTAAAGCCATTAGCAGCCTTTTATTTCACTGTGTTCTGGAATTAATTCTTCTGTTAGTGTAGGACTCGGAAATGCTGAGCTCTTGAAGACTTTCCCTTTCTTAAAAAATGTGTTCTTGTTTACTTAAAGATTCATGTATATTCTTCTAGCTTTATGACCAAGTAGCAAGAAAAAAAACTGTTTCTAATGTCTTTTTACTGCATCATTTGCATTTACTAAGCACGCTGTGCCTTACTTTTCCAGGGCCTTGCCTATTATGTATGCTGTAGCCCTCGATCTTCGAATTTTTGCTAATAATGTAAGTAGAACAGATTAATAACCTCATTATTTTTTATCTGTTACAAGTTTCTGTGGTTGAAAGATTTTTACTTGATTCCATAGCCTAATTTTGCTCATTAGTGTCTAATTTGTTGTTCAAGGTTTTGTTAATACACTAAATTTATCCCATCCTATTATAAAACTAGGTTGCTGAGTCTGCCTGACTCTCGGTTGCAGCTTTAACTGGAGGGGTTCTGGGCACCTGCACGCAACTCACAGCTTAGAGCATATAAAATGATTAAGCACTCGTCTTTAGAGAATAGCACGATGGTATAACTCATGGTTTCTGTGTGTTATCCTTGGGGTTTTTGCCTAAGGGTGGAGATGCACAAGGCAACTAAGCTAATCTATGCACTCACTGCATCTTGTGAGGGAAACTTTTCCCTCGTTTCTCTCTTTGCTCTGTGTGCGTTGCTTTTGATGCTCATTGCAGCCCTTGCTGAGTCTGTACAACGGCTGGCAACCAAAAAAAAAATAAAAAAGGAAAGTGGGCTTAGTTTTGAATGTTATCTTTTAGCCTTAGTATATTCAAAACGTGGGTACAAAGACTTCTGCAGCAGAGGATGTATTTGCATTTCTTGTCCTTACATTTCAGCTAACGAGGATGCAAGCGTTAGAGTAAAGCTTTCTAGAAGGCACATAGCAACAATCCACTCACTGTTTTTTCCCAATCTTTGTTGTTTTAATTCCTTATTCGTTAGTGTATGGTTCTTTCCACTTCACATGAACAGTGCTGCCAACTGTTATCATGACTCTGTAGCATGTGTGTTCCTTTCTCTTGAAAATCTCAGGTTGCAGCAGTGTGAATTACTACTAGAAAATGTTGAATGTAGGTTAGAAATAAAATCTGGTCCTTCTGGTTGTAAAGAGAAGCTTAATTATAATTTTTAAAACTCAGATTTCATAACTGGGGAAATGTTTTTATTTGCTCTTGTTTATAAGACGTCTCTTTTTTGCTTGATTTTTGGACTTTAAAACTTGAGTTGGAGTGTTAATGCTCCAGTTCAGCTGTAAGATGATCCTTCTGAGAGCTGCGTTAAGCTTCTTGGTGCTGAAGGTAAAAGTGGACAGTGCTGTTTTCAAAGTCCTGACCCACCTGCTCTGC